TTGATGTAGTTTACGTTGCGATTTTATTATTTTTATTATTTTTTAATCATGCTATCTTATTAAAAGTTTAAAATATTGAGATTCTAATTCATTAATTATTAATTAGTTAATTAATTATACTGAAACTTTTTATTACAAATCTAAAAGTATATATCTATGTATTAAATTAAATATTTATTTATGATGGCGTATATATATTTTTGAAGAAAATACATACACATTATTTACAATAATTAATGATTAATATAACGATTAATTTTAATTATTCAGGTTTTACAATACAAAGACACAGTAAATTGTCTTTCTCATAATTATGAATAAGAATATGAATGAGTCCTTATTATAGGATTTAAAATTCTTAATACCAAATATTATAATAATTATATAATAGAATATATTACCTTCAGAAAAATCTAATCGATAAATACACGTCATAAAAAAAAAGACTCAAATGCATTTTTATTAAAGACAATATTAATTAAACGTAAATTTAATGCACCTGTTTAATATTACATATCAGATTTACGAAAATGATTTTTGTACCTTTAGTATTAAATGGTATATTAAATATTATATATTAAAGGTATATATATATATATATATATATATATATATATAAATATAATATTTATAAATACCATATAAACATTATAAATAATTCGTGTTAAATTTAAATAAAATAATTTAAGATTTTTTATTTATGCCTCGAAAAATGTTTTTTTTTTGTAAAATGTGATTATAATTATTAGTAGAATGAGAAACTATTTTCAAATTGGTATAATAAAAGCATTTATAATTAATTCTGATGGTAAATTTAATACTAACAATGTTATGAGCTTTTATTATATTATTAATGCCTGTTGTACTAAAAAACAACTTAGATTTGTGAAAAATATATATATAAATTAGAATATTGCTATAATTCTATTATAATTGTATTAAATTAAAATAATTGTGAATTGTTTATTATCATCATTATCACCAGGTTCATTAATATTCACATTATAGTTAAAGCATAATATGTTTTTGCAACTTATTTAATTATATATCTTATAAAGTAATAACAAATTATAATTTATATAATTATTTATAATAGAAAAGGTTTGGTTATAAGTAGCTACGTGAAATTTCAAGTTAATTTTGTATTTATCAGATTGAAGTATTAATAAAAATCCGTAACAGACTATGAGACGCAATATAAAAGTTGAACAATATTTAATGAAGCACTAGACTCTGGCATTTGTACAATTTGTTCAAAACTCTAGTTAAGTGTTAAATTAGTTAACTTTATATACTATACTATGGTAGGAACGCAAACACTTAGTAGGTAAATTATAAGCTAAGCTATTCCGTAACTTTCCAACATCCCCAGGGTAAATGT